TAGGGCTGGGCGCATCCACAAGATGTATTTGCTGATATGTGCGAATATAACGTGCGTAGACTTGATGAGTAAAGGGACCAGGCCTTGAAATCTATCCATCATGTTTCAAACACAAAACCAGAGTGATGTAATAACATATATAGGGGAAATGGCTCTAATGTTGGCCTATGGATCTAACATTGGGCCTATCGCTAAAAATCTACTATTTATCAATTTTATCTAGATGAACGCGTCATTGGGACGGCACTAATGGATATTTTTAATCGCAATTGAAAATTTAGTCGATTGTTGAATTTATGTATGGGCCCAGCATATAGGCCGACATTACATCCATTTCCCCTACATAGGGGAAAAATCTACTTCGGCCTAATCGCACATTCCCGGCCTATATAGCACAAAACATCAAATATATCTATGATTTCGGTGTGAACGTGTCAATCAAACGTTTGGTACGATGCTTCTATTCAATAGCTGCAAGTGTTGAAGAACGCAAAATAAGATCTCGAAATCAAAAGGCGCACTTGAAGTGGACAAAAGGCGCACGCGAATTCACTTTTCTTTCCGTTCGATAGGCCAAAGAGAATCCCAATGGCGTTTCAATGGCTAATAGGCCCCAGAAAACCCGTAGGACAAGTTGAGCGGCCAGAAGCAGTTTTGCATTTTCAACAATATACGAATATTTCGCGCCCCCTTATCAGAACTAACGGTACATATGGAAAGCTTAATAAATTTGGAAGCTATATGTTATAATAACATTCCTTTGGTGCTAAACTACGCTAGATTAAGAAAGATTAAGTGTGGCCGGGAATGGTGTAGTTAACCCTATGTAAAGCAAAGTGAGCCGAAGGATATCCTCACTTTTTTCGCTATTCAGTCAAGAAGACAACCGCCGCCCTATGAAACCCACCACCAAGCAGACAAATTGATTAGCAAATTCAAAGCTTGTCGCAATCTGAGAAGCGGGGTGGCGATTTGCCACATAGACCGGAGACTTTTAACCTAATACGATTCAATTAAGAAAATGGAAGGATTACCTACATTTTCAATGAAAAAACACTACACAACCCAAGCGGAAGCAATCTAAACCGGGGCAACAATCGACGTCGTAGTCGTCGTCGTCATCATCGTCGTTACCGGTTTACCGGAAGCGAGTGCAAAATATCTAATAGCAATAATGGCGGGAAGCAGGAGTGTTTGAGCACACGTACACGATCCAATTTATCCTTCCTAGAGGCTTATTGAGCTTTCTCCTCCCGTCGATAAGCATCACGACGTCGGGTTTTCAACTGTGCTCGATGAGATTAATTTATCGCTAGTGTACTACATTGTGTTGCTTAATGTTGCTTTTCAGGTTCCAGCAATCAAATATTTATAACGTTGAAAATTAGTGTTTCCGTAAGTAGACTCTGATGCATGTTACGCAATGCAAAGCATTTTGGTGGTTGTGTCGAGTTTAGAGCTTTTTGCTTGCAATAGTGAGCTCCTATTCACCAGAAATCGGCTGTTGCAGTCATTGTTTACAAAACTAAGAGACTAAAGTATTTATATCAATAACAACAGATTCGAATTTCACCTCGATTACATAATCCTCGCTATTCTATCATCGGTTAACTGGTTCAGTATTTGGTCAATGTTTACCGATTTTAGTACATTCCCGTTTTTAACAACATCCGTTTTTAACAACATCCGTTTTTGGCAACACCATTGTAAACAACATAAAACATGATTGTTTGTGTCAAATGCAGGGCTGTTACAAGATTGTCTAAATTTGATCCGCGAAATCCGCGATTTCTCAAAAGAAATCCGCGACTTCAAATACTAATCCGCGACAAAAAAAACTGTTTTCATACTACTACATGGCATTTCAAGCTTATTGCTTATAGCATATTAGATTTATGCCTTAGTGTTCTTTGAAGTACTTTCACATTTTAATTGAGAGCTTTCTATGGCTGTACCATCCTATGCCCAAGAAAGTAGAGAAATTTTCCAACCCGAAAAATTAATAGACCGGACGGGAATAGAACTCAGTCGCCTCCAGCATGGACTTGCTTTGTAGCTGCGCCTTTACCGACTGAGCTAAAGGAGTATCGTTTGTAACCTTTGAATTAAAAAAAAGAATAACATTGTATCATCTTTAGTTATTTATGTATAGTATAAATTCTGAGTAATTAGTGAACATAATAAAACACCCTTACATTATAAGATTCTATTGAATAATACCGGACTAGATTTGATGAAACATTATTGAAAAAAAAAATTAATACATATTCATTTGAAATGCAAATTTTCTTGAAAATTAACCAGAAACGTATTTTGCTGTCCTAAATGTTGTAGTTAATTTGGCTCTAGTTTTCTCAATTTTTTACCGATTCAAACCAAACACCCTGCACATAATCGAGAAATTACCAAAGTTTCATAAGTCACGCTTGTTGGTCACGTCGCGGTTGTGTATTTACACGGATATTCCTAGGGTTCTGCCCAATGGTGAGACATTGTCATGATATTTTTTTTATTTCTAATATGAACCTAGCACTTTTTGTTGTCAAATCATAACCGAATCGTATACATGTGACTTTGTGGATCATGTACGACTCATTACTGTGTATACAGGAAATTATAGGTTTTACAAATCGGCCAGGACATCAGTTGATTTGTTGTACTAGATCAACCAAGACTGCAATAATGTCTGTAGTATCGAAATATGTCCAATCAGATTCAAAGTGTCTATGTGGATCATGCATGATCTATTTCCGAGTAATCCAGATGTTCAAGGTTCTTCAAATCGTCCTGGAGTTCAGATAATTTGATGTACTAGATCAACCGAGATTGTGACATTGTCTTTATTATCGAAATATTTCCAGACATATGCACAGTGTCTATGTGGATCATGCATGAGCTATTGTTTGCAGTCATGTCATGCAGATGTTTTAAGTACTCCAAATCGTTCTGGGCCTCATAGCCTAGTGTAAAAGTACGGTATTACTAAGCCGGAGGAGGCGGGTTCGATTCCCGGTCCAGTCGAGGGAATCTTTCGGGCTGGAAATTTTCTCGACTTCCCTGGGCATAGAGTATAATTGTGTTAGCCACACAGTATACAAATTCATGCATTGTTATTGGCGTCGAAAGCTCTCAATTAATAACTTTGGGAGTGCATTTAGAACAATAAGTTGAGAGCACGCAATGAGCTAATATGCACTAATCAATAAGCTTCAAATGCGAATAAGAAGAAGAAGAAATCGTTCTGGAGTTCAAATGATTTATTCTACAAGATCAACCATGACTGCGACTGGGATGAAGTCTGTAGCATCAAATTATGTCCAAACAGATTCATAGTGTCTGTATGGATAATGTTTAATTATTTCCACGTATACCAGATGATCTAGGTTCTCCAAATCGTCCTGCAGTTCAGATGATTTGTTTTACTAGATCAACAAAGACTACGATAATATCTGTAGTATCGAAATATCGATTTGGAAATCCTAGAATATTTGGCATGATCCACATAGACACTGCAAATTGGTTTGGACATATTTCGATACTACAGATATTGAATTAGTCTTGGGTGATCTAGTAGAAAAATAATCTGATCTACAGAATGATTTCAGAACCTATAAAATCTTGTATACGTAAGTCGTATAGGTCGGGTACAATCGACATAGACACTTGGAATCTGTTTGGACATATTTCGATACAACAGACATTATTGCAGGCTTGGTTGAAATAGTAGAACAAATCAACTAAACTCCAGGACGATTTGGAGAACCTAGAATATCCGATATACATGGCAATTACTCGCATATATACGATTCGTTTATGATTTGACAATGGAAAATGCTATGTTCATATTAAAAAAAGGGAAATGTCTCACATTGGACAGACCTCAGGGAATTTCCGTGTAAATTCGGTGTGACTTATGGGATTGAATCATTTCTCGATTATTTACAGGGTGTTTAGTTTGAACCGGTAAAAAATTGAGAGCCAAATGAACAACCAAATTGATGACAGCAAAATAATCCGGGACGGAAAGGCTACAATGAATTCCACAATTTTTGTGATAGCACATCAGTCCATTCGCGATTCTCGCGACATCATTTTATGTTTCCGCGATTTTCGCGACTGAAAGTTCAAATCCACGACAAATCCGCGAAAATCGCGAAATCCGCGCCTGTTGTAACAGCCCTGCAAATGAGATAAGTTAAACACACACTGAAAATTTTAGAGCCTCTTGTAGTTCAGAAACAAATTCAGGAGTTGTTTAAAAAAATGAAATGGCCCTCGCACTGGTTGATGGGATTGATGGTTTTAAAATACTAGCCGCCTCTTATCATTTATTTTGATTTATTATTTTTTATTTTCCGTCTGTTTATTTCACATGTGTACATCCTATTAATATAAGTTACTATAATAAAACGTGCCTGAATGTGTTTAAATTCAGTAAAAATAAATATTTTTCCTCAAAATCCGTGCCATAGAACTATAAAAAGCGCGAAAACCGCACCAAAAAACCCTGCAACATTAGTAGAACAAAAACCTGGGGCTGCCAATTTCGACTTTATAATGTTTTTTTCTATATTGGAAATATAATGAGTATAGCATAACTAGCGAGGAGTGACTACTTCCACTACAGTTAGAAATACATCTCGACAAATCTCTTAAACAGGTTTGGTAATGAAGTTTAATCCATTTTGGATTGAAAAACAAAATTCGGAATTTAAAACGTACATGTATTGGATTGAGTAACAATGTTTCAACAATGTGTTATATCTTTACCCAATATATAATTCATTTCGATCCTTCTGAGAAAAAAACCAATTGTTTATTCCATCGAGCTGGAAAATTGTATACTCAGGTACCCAGCTTTTACGGTTGATGTGGGGATTGAATAAACAACACATACCTACAACATCCCACAGAAGCAATCATGGCATTGGGTTTCCACCCACCATACACGACTAGAATAAATCAAACAATTTGGTTCCAGAAAAATCAAAACCACTCACCTGTATAATATGCGGATCATCCAGGGCCAGCGCGATATGTGTGTCATTAGCGTGCTCCAAGCGAGGTCGATTGTCATTCCGATCCAGCACGGTAATGTCGATGGTTTTGTTCAGCTCCATGGGAACATCGTTTCCACTCAGTTGAACGGCACAGTGAACACTCGTTTTCAGGAGAGGACCTGGCCGGGGTGAATCGTGGTCCAGCAAAGTGTTGCTGTAGATGGAACCATTGCGTTCGTACAGATAATCCGTTGCATTGTTGAGACCGTAGCTGACGGACTGCGTTCGACAGAGTTTTCTATACAGGTCAGTACCGAGCGTCCCAATAGCAAAACCGGGTGATTCATTTTCCTGAACTTTGTAAGTAACCATATCCCAGAAGCAAATCTTATCAACGTTTTGCTCGCAGAAGCGTGAAAGATAGATTTCACCCAGCGGGATAGGAGTGATTGTCAGACTGAGTCGTAGCGTGTCCAATTGGTTGTTGGATGCCGCAATGATAAATTCCGTCGGGGTCCGCATGTCGAGAAAATGAGACGCTATCCAAATGTCGCCAGAGGTGGCATTAACTTTCAGGTACTGCTCAGCGGGATCCTCGATACTGTAATGGTACTGTCGGTCATCGGTGGAATTTGACCTCCTGTCCAGCAGCGGAACGCTCAGGAGGGGATGATCGCGCAGGATGATGTAGGCTTCCCGGGAAATGGGAACACTGAGGTGTAGCCTCCCGATGGAGTAATAGGCATCCAAGGCTGTGAAGGGAAACAAGAGAGGGAAGAGATTCAGATGTTAGTTTAACTCATATCCGCCCAACGTCCTAAGAATGACAGTAATTATACTGTTGATATTGATACAAGATAGATGGTTCATGTCATCGGTAAAGTTGCTCAGTATTTAAGTACTTATGCCGGTCGACCATGGTGGACATTGTGTTTAGGAATCCACTCGGTAGCTGGTGCTGAGATTTGTCATTGTCATTGAATGATTTCACGAGATATTGACGAAATTATTTTTGACATTGTCACTAGAAAAATTAACCCTCATATAAATGTTCATCAAAATCTCTTAATTTTTCGACCAATGACAAAGATTCATCTGGTTACAAGAAGTAAAATTTCATGCATTATTAATTTTCATTATTGTTTTCCAGGCCGTTAAGGACGTAGATGTTTATTCACTTTGACAGTTCCATGGATTTATTGTGCTTAGTTCATTTAATTTAGTTACTAATTTAGCCGATAGTAAAAACTGCACAGCTTTGACATCAAATTGAGAACGAGTGAGTGATGACAGCTGTTTTGTCAATATCGCCGTGTGTGGTCGAGATTTTGCAGAACAGTTGTGTTTTCAAAATGTCGGGAGTAAGCTCTGCCTTTGAACAAGTTTGACCAGCATTTTCTCCACTGTTTATTAGACTAGTAAAAAATAGGAAAATGTATTACGCCATATTTTTAATCTTTGGTACAAGCAATGTAAATATTTACCTTATTTGACAAAACCCAGAATAACAGCATAAAAAACCAACCATCACACCGGTCCAGAAGCCGCTAACAAAGAGTTCAAGCAAAGAGTAAAGAATGAGCTCCGAAAACAAACTGAACCCCCGACGTTCTTATGTTTGTCACAGAGAAGCGACCCACAAGTACTGATCCTGTAGACTCCTTTAATCACAGATACAGACAAGAAATCCTTCCTGATGAAAAGGAATCACCATGGATCAAGATGTATTCAAGGAGAGGCAACATGTTAATTCAGTTGAAAAGTATCATCAGTACGAGGTGGAGGAAGCGGTCAAGGGCTTGGTAGATATCATCCTGATTCAAGCAAGAAAGGTGAACCAGCAGCACCATGCAATTTCATCCGGTTGACATTGCTCATGGATTCAATTGGTGAGTTCGTTCCTATTTATTAATTCACTTGTGATGATAATCCTCAACAGCGTTGAATAGCCAAAAACAGGTGCAGAATTAGGTGAGAGGGGTTGACAAAATTGACATTACTGTAAATCATATATATTTTTTTAATTGGTTTGGGGAGGAGCAGCCCAAGGGAATCAAAGGATTTGTTGACTGGACGAGGGTTCGTGGATTTGCCACGTGATTACAAATGGCTATCTAGTCATTTTGTCTTCCAAAGGTCTTCAATAAAGCTGATTCACCCTGCTGCAACAAACCATCAGGCAGAACTTTACAACCGGTAAAGTATCTGCAGACATTGGTAATCCTTGCACTGATGGTGGGTTCCATACACATCACATCACATCATCAACAGTTGTGCTTTCAAAATGTTGAAAAAATTCTAATTTGGGGATTTTCGTTTCGCCAATATGTTTAGGAACATTGTTAGAAAAGGTTCAGGTTCTATCCTGAAGTTTTGAGAAAATGATGGGTGTTATGAGACCGAAAACATAAATTATGTATCATTAGAACTTTGTAGAAGCTCAGATTTTTCTAGAGATTAAGCACAGCAGTTCCATTTCAAATGACGATTTTTTTTTTAAATTTTTGATCGACCTTCTACGATTATGCTGAAACTTTGCACAGTTGTTTGTTATTGTCCAACATTCCATTTTACATATTTGGTTCCCTAGTTTTGTACACGATTAACACTTGAAAATCGGATCGGAATTGGTAGTAATCAGAACCGAAAAAACGGCAAAAAACACAGTAAACACCTGCTTTCTTTTGTGGTTATTGCCCGGAAGACAGGACTAATGACGGTAAGCTCCAATTCGGATTTACTTTTAATACCGTCCCTGTTTGGATGATCTGCAAAATATTTGATTAGAATTGTGTTGATTGTTAATCGACATCGACATCAGAGCAGCCGGACATTATTGATTGGGATTTAATTCGTGGATAATACCGGTTGGACCTTACCATTATAAGAAAGATACGTTAAAATTCCAGGAGCGGTGGCGGAGTACTGAAACAAGAGAGAAAAAAACGAAACACCAACAGACTATAGCGAAGCTACAGCAATTCGAACGTAATTCTTGCCCTAAAGCTTTCACAATTATTTACACTACTCATTGAATTAAACACCTTTGCATGGGTCCCATCTCATTGCTAGATTCCGGGCAATGAGAAGGCGGACTCGCTTGCAAAGGTGGGCGCTATATGGAAGGCGATATTTACGATCGACAAATCGCCTACGACGAATTTTTCTTCATTTATCGTCAACCGTCACTCGCCAGCTGGCAAAATAAATGGAATGAAGGGAGGTTTGGACGATGGTTATATTCAATCATCCCTAAGGTGTGGAAGTGTCCTTGGTTCAAAGGTTTGGAGGTGGGTCGAGACTTCATTCGCTAAGCGCTCACTTGTTCCGTGTTGGGCTAGGGGACAGTAATCTCTGTGAATGTGGACAAGGTTACCAGGACGCAGATCACATTATTTGGTCATGTGCTGAGCACCGTGGAGTCAGATCCAAGTTGAACGATTCCCTTCGGGCTCGAGGTAGACAACATAACGTCCCAGTTCGGGATATTTTAGCTAGACGCGATCTGGAGTTTATGCAACTCATATATGTTTTCTTTAAGAATATTAACCATAGATTGTAAGTTTGATTAACCTTGTGTTTACTTTGTATTTTGTGTGTGCGTGTGTTTTTTGTATTTTGTTTCTGTAATAATTGTATAATTACAGAGTTGATATAACGTCGATAGGATTAAGTACACACTTAGAAAAATTGATTTAAATTTAGGTGCTCTGAGACTGACATATACGAGCGTCAATTTTGACATTAAATTGAGTCATAATAGACGAGAAATTCAGCTCAATCAAACGTACTTTCGAACTTGTCCGTCTTGGAGTACTCCATTTTACATGACATGTTTGTTTACGTCTCATCCTTTATGTCAAAGATGGATTCCGTCACGTGTAAGATTAGGTATTCTGAAGTGTGTATATGTTTTAGAAATAGTGAAATTTTTGAATCATAAATCATATTCTCCCGATTCAAACAATTGTCATCCACTAACCTCGAGAAGACCGCGAGTAATCGGTCAAATCCTTCAATTTTCGATTTAAGACATTTATAATGTGTAAAGAAAATTATAACTTGGCTCTGTAAATTTTATTCAATTGAGCCTGTACAAATAAGGTAATTAAAAAAACTTAATTAAATGGCACCAACCAAAACAAATATTGTTTTAGTTTTCATTTTCATTTTGCAGCGTTTATTGGGGCAATGGGAGCACAAGTCAATCCAAAGCCGAGGATAAAGGAAGGGTAATGGCTGAATAGTATATGCGGACCACTTGAACGCCATGGGAAGGGATTGGAGAGGTCGGTTATTGAGGGGTTTTGAGGAAATGACACATAGTACTAGATTTGTGCTGCAAAATATTAAGAAACCGAAAATCCATCTCCCACCCATTCATCCTTTCACATGTATACCAAATTGATATTTTAAAGCAACCATCAAAATAAACAGACAATATATGAAAAGGCTAGTTGCCAGTTGCTTTAAAGGCTAGTTGCCTCCCTAAGCGGACCCCCCGCATCCTAACTCTTTTGTTAATCTACTTAATGTTATTAGGCTTCTAAATTTTCTTATTTAAGTTCGTTTGATGATTAAGATATCTCATTAGTCTAATTTAATAAATAATTGAAATCTCTAATTTACCTAATCAATCTTAACTCATGCTTTATTAAGTACCTAAACTGCTATGTAATCTAAAATTTAACGTGTTTCAAGTAATTTTGAATTTGATCTATATTTATTATATCTTAGATCGACCCAGGTGACACCTTCAAGTGACTAAAATGCTTCACTTTGAAATTAGTTTCCTAGCTGATTTTTAAATTATATAGGGTTTCCACTATGTCGCACCACAAAAATACGTATGGGTATGTCATAATAGAAGCACGCCACAGTGGAAATCCCGAGCCATAGTTCAAACACTTATCCCAAATCAAAATGAAGCACATATAAGATTAGTTACAATACCATGTACAATTTTTTTTTCTAGATTTGTATGTATAGAAATTCCAATTTAAATTTATACCCTCAATTCTTCGTGCAATTCACCGGAATTTATTGTTATGTTCTTCATCTCCTGTAAGCATTCTATGAAATTTTGATTGGGACTCTTCAGAATCTTCCTTGAAGTTATTTGAATTTCCTGTCTATTCGAGAATGACACTTGGAATACTCTAGAATTCCATTTGACTTTCTACAGAATCGCACTTGAGGTTCTTGGTTATCCATCTTGGAATTCTCTAGAATTCCTCTTGTGTTCTCCACACTAACTCTGATGATTTACGTTGAACGTCTTCTTGGGTTGATTGGTTGGTTGTGGATAGTGATATTCAGTAATCCCTCTTGGAATGCTGCAGAACCAAAATGGAGCTTCATATTTCAAGTGAACGGGCCTGGGATTGAATCCATGGACTTCTGCTCACTGAACGGACGCTCGACGCACTGAACCATCGAGCCCGTTTTCGAATTTGATTCTTTTAACACATCAATTAATTTTTGTACAGAGTTCCTCTTTTCATTATGATTTCAATCTTTTGATCATGTAGTCGGAGTTGGTAAAGTTTAACCAACTCCAACTCTGATTTTTCAGATCATCCACAAAATCCAACTACACAGCCCGGTACTGTTAGCGGTACAATTACTGCCACCAAATGGCTAATCATTCAGCGAACATAATTACCATATTTAACGCCTAAATGCATAAATGACGTAGGATTTTAGGGTGACCAGACATATAAAAAATACGTTAAATTTACGTTTGATGAAG